CTTGGCATTCCCCCGGAGGAGCTGGAGGAAGTGTCTGGAGAGAGGGAAGTCTGGGCATCTTTGCTTAGACTGCTGCCCCCGCGACCCGGTTCCGTATAAGCGGAGGAAAATGGATGGATGGATGGGTATCCAGAGACTAACAGCAAATGTGGTGCACTCAGTGTAAACAGAGCAGAGCTGTTTGCTGGAAACAGCCTCCCGTGTTCCCTGAGGAAACTTGCCCCCCCTCAGTGCAGCGGTGTGGCTCACTGGGGTGCGGTTAATTGCTGGTGGACAACAGTGGAGGCCTACAGCACAGAGCGATAAGCTGGACCAGGGTCAGGACTCACACATTCACTGGTGCTGCTGGGCTCTGGGTGGATTTGTGCAAAAGAACATGAACAGATAAACCCACTGGTCTTATCTTTTAAATTGGTCTGGAATGACCACTAGCTTACAGTGGAAGAAGTACTCAGATCCTTTACTTAAGTAGAACTATCAATTTCACAATATAAAAATACCCCATTACAAGTAAAACTGTGAACATCCAAGTACAGAAGTATTGTCAGTGGAAGTTACTGAAATTACTAAAAGTAATCATTTTGCAGAAAACTGGCACATTGATCAATATAAATAAATTCCATTATCACACACAAACATACCAACAGTGGTGGAACTAAATGGTTGTACTAAACAATTTTGAAGTACGTTGAGTATTTCCATAATCTACTCCACTATAGTTCAGATTGAAATCATGTACTTTTTACTCCACTACGTGTATTTGACAGCTTCACTACCCTGTTACTTTGCAGATGGAGATTCTTATTGCAATACAAAATATAATCAAGAAATACATCATGATGTATTATTACAGATGAGCCCACCTGACAGTACATGAAGTAGTTAGCTCCACCTTTACCAGCTCCAACATTAGTGATGCTTATAATCCAAAAAAGTAATACTATTACATATAACTGAGTATTACACTGTGGCAATGATACTGAGTACTTCTACCACCGCTTACTATAGCAGTTTTAAGTACTTCATATACAGTTGGTTAGCTTTTTCCAGCAGTTTCCAATCTAGGTGAGGCCCCTCCTGTGGGTCACCAGACACAGCTGAGGGGTCAGCAGTTCTCACACACTAGTCTGGTTTCAGTTTTGGACTTATCTCTAATTACTGTTGAAATACTGGAGGTTTTTTTCATCTTCAGACCAGAAACAGTGTTTTAACTGAAACCATATGAGAAGTAAAGAGGGGAAATCTTTTTTGGTAAAACTGCTAACAACTCAAACATCTGAAAAGTGGCCAAAAGCCACAACTAGACACTGTGTTTATACAAGGCAAAAAAACTGCTAAGATGCACTGGTTTAATCTTTAAACGCTGCAGTCTCAAGATGACAGTAACATGATTATGTGCATGCTTTTCTACTATTAGATTGTGTATGATTTTCAAGGTGTGAATTCATTCATTACCAGTTCAAGTACCAATTTCTTTGTAGTGTGAACATCACCAGTGACAAGGCCATGGTGCTGCTGTAGGTTTGTTTCTGTTGAACTTTGGCTAAGCGGTTTATAAATATCTTTTCAGTGAAGTGAGTCAGAACATTTGACTCAAACCCTCAAAAACGTACTTGACACCAAAGCGGTCCATAAACATGATGTGGTTTCGAAAGGTCCTGTTGATGTCCAGGTCGATCTGTTTGATCTCAGGCGAGCAGAGTCTGGCCTGCTCCTTCATTTTCTGAGAGTGAGCACAGATGGAACATCAGTAAGAATGAACTCAGGCAGATCATAACTAAATGACTGAGCTAAGCTAGCAGCTTCCCTGGATTCCAGTGTTTATGCTAAGCTAGGCTAAAGATGCCCTGGACCTACAGCATCCTTGTACTCGAAGCACAAACTCATATTCATCTTGTCATCTGACTCTGCGAAAAGCTTCAAAAAACTGTCCCATTAAATAAATAAATAGAGACTGCACTGATTTCAAAAGTGTCTGCAACACATTATGAGTGCATACATACCTCATACTTGCCCTCGTTCTCCTTCTTTGCCCTTTCCACGTCCAGCATCAGGGCCCAGGCCCGGCCTCTGAGCTGCAGGGGAATGCCCTTGTACACCCGTCTCACCATCTGACAGCACACACATAAACATTAACTGAATAAAAAGCCACAAGATTTAAAGAACTGACGCTGTTCAGTGTGAGTCACCAGAAAGTTTAACCACCTACTGCTGCCTACAACAATATTCTCAAGAACAAAGTTAAAGTTTTTCCCATCTGAGACAAATTCACACGTTTGTATGTGTGTCAGACACGGATCAAGTGACTGCTGGGGATAATAACATGTCCACCCTTGTGGGTTAGGTGGATCTAAAACATCCCGGCTATACGTGTTGGCAGCTCCACACACAGATTCAAAACTATTCCATCAAGTAATGTTAGCAGCAGTTTTCATCCTACTTCTTCTCAGCATTGTGGAAAACACAGCTGAAGCCATTAGTCAGTTAATCAGTTGCAGAAAAACAGCAACTATTTTGGTAACCAAAAAACCCCTTCACTCATTTTTCAAACACAATTTGTAAGAAAACAAAAAAGTCAAATATTTGCAGTTTTCACCCTCTAAAAATTTTCGTTTTTCCCCCCCCCAAAAAAAAAAAAAAAAAAAAAGATTTGTGGCCCCAAAGTTTGCTGAACTCCACAACAACACACAAAGCCAACATCTGGCCTCAGTAAGTTGGTCTAACATGTTAGCAAATAGCTGCACACAGGTAGGTCTCCTACCAAGATTCACAGTTTGTTTCCAATTGCTAACACATAATTTTGACAACAAAATATTTAATACAATTTACAAATGCCCAAAGTTCAAAACACCTCACGCATGCAAAGCTACAAACACACTTATCAGAATCAAACCTTTGCATCAAAACACTTCATTCACATTCACTAGTTTCCAGGAAACAACACACGTTTATCTTCAGTGGCCATTTACTATAAGAGGACTCTGCAGGAACACACCAGTCATGTGCACACAAATCTGCACAAAAAACAAATTTCACCACAAAAACAAAGATCTTGTTAAACTGCAACATGGGCATAAAGTAGGAAATGTGTTGAGCTTTGGAGAACTGACTGAGGATCTGCTCCCTGAGTGGAGGTTTTGTTAATTGTGCCAAGTGTCATTTTACTGTGTTAGCAACTGAAAGAAACTGTAAAAGTGGCAACAGATGGGAAAAATGTGACACTGAGGGATAAATTGTTCCACAGTCTGGGAGCGACAGTGGAAAAAACTCAGTGACCTCCAGATCTGGGCTGTGAGCGTGCAGCAGAGAGGAGGAGCCAAGATGAAGGCTTATGTTCTACAAACACGAAGCTGCAGAGATGAAGGCGGGTTCAGAACAAGAAAAAGGATTTTACTATTTATAGAAGTTGTTTTTCTGTATACTCAGACTGAAACCAGTTACCTTTGATGTGTGTATGGTTTGAGTCTGTTATGTGGGTATGTGACTGAGTATTAGTTTAATATATGGTGTTTATATATTTTATTTTCTTGATTCTGTGATTGTTTTATTTTTTGGCTAGTTTGAAAATTGTGATGTGGTTTGTCAATTTAAAAAATAAGTAATGATGATTGTTGTAGCTGATAATTGTCTACTGGTCAAAGTGACAACAATGGATGAGTAGGTTGGAGAAGCATCCAGTGTAGGCTGAGATTTTCCATCTCCAACTCTCTCTGAGTTTGACTCATATTCTGGGGATTGGGCTGAGCTCAGACCCAGAGCTGTTCAGAATGAGTGAGCATGGAGGAATTTGGTGTGTGGCTGCAGTAAACTGACAGCTGTGGTGATTCACTGTGTGACCCGACAGTCTCGCTGACCACAGAGAAATGTTACATAATGAAACGTGTTCACTCAGCCCATGTCTGGTATCTGTGGGCTGCTACTCACCCTCTCACTGTTCTTGTATTTATCCCACTTCTTCACCATCTTCAGCCATTTCTCTGCTCTTTCTACCTCCAGCTGCTTCAGCTGTCGAGGAAAAAGAAGCTGGTGAACAGAAACACAACTGCCGACTTGCCTGGTCCTTAGTTACCACCGTAAGAGCAGATCACATTGACTGTGAATCAGTTACAGACGGTGACACATGAAAGGACAACCCAACCCAGAGAGTCCCAGTGAGGTGCTGGACCACCACGTGCCACCAGAACAGCTCCAGTGCACCTCAACTCTCCAAGTCCCTGGACCTTCCTAGAGGGATGAACACTGTTCTCCCAGCAGATGTTCCCTCGTGGGGTGTTTTGATGATGTTGGTGGAGACGTCATCTAACACGTCACTCCAACATCTCCCATAGCTGTTCAACTGGGCTGAGACCTGGTGACTGGGAAGGCCACAGCGTCAAGTTCACATTATGGTCATCCTCATCAGACCATGTGTCCCATGGAGGGGGGCACTGCCATCCTGGAAAGGATTTAATCAGGTATTTCCTTTCATTGGTCACCCGTCTGTAGCTAATCATCAGCGTTAGAGCAGCGGCTCCCACTCAGAGCTACACGAGAAAAACAACGTATGATGCTGATCGTTAAGATATTTACTGTCACAACCCATAAGCTACCAGCTACACTAGGCTGCTTGCTCAATCCACACCTCATCCCAGCTAGAGTCACATATACCACCTTACAGCCCAAGAGCCGAAACTGGTTAGCAACCCAGCGCAGACGCCAGAATAGTCAGTTAAATGTAAGTATAAAACTGTTTAAACAGTGAGAGGACAAACGTGTGAAATAATGGATGAACAGGTGAAACAGTGGGCTAATAGACGACAAATAACCTGAATCTCCCTCGGAATAAATAAAGTATCTATCTAAATGAGCTACTGTAAAAGTAATGTGTAAACAATTGAAGTAATTAGCTAAAACAGGTCAACAAAGAGCTGAAAGAATGAGAATTCACTCTATCAAGGTTATCTTATTTATCAAGGTTACGTGTCGATTCTTACATGCCTTGTTATGAGAGAGTAGAAGGGCTGGCTCATTTGGAAGGAAAATGTACAAAATATTAAACATCACACGGGGCTCTCTCTTTACTCCTGCGTAGGCATTCATGTAGCAGCCTATGTGCTGTGGGCTGTGTGTGCACAGGGTGCTGTACCTGTGAGTGCAGGCTGAGCGCCACCTACAGACATTGTACTGTAACACATGCCACGTTGCAGGACAAATCACGAACAGTCGCGGTGAAAGTGAGTGACACTTTGAGTGCCTACATCTGTAGGTTTAGTGAATTCAACATGTGGAACATGACGGGCAGTGTTGGTGAAGGGCTGTTCGAGCTCATCTGACAGGGATGTGTCAGTACAGCAGATGAAAAAGGTCAAAACCGTTGTCTAGAGCTTTGTGAGGTCTAGTGTCTGTCTTCTTTACCTTCTCCTCTTGTGCAGTCGGGGCTGGTAGTTCATCCTCACTGGAAAGACACAAACACCATCAGGTACAAGGCTGCGCAGCGTCACCAGGAAACCATCACATGACACAGGCCAAACTTACTGCATGAAGCCAAAGCGGTCAATGACCTTGTAGATGCTGTAGTCAGCATCTTCCCAGGGGTCGATCTCCACCCCGCCCTGCCTGCCCTAAAAACACAAACACACACATATTACATGGATAGAAACAGGAAAGCATGTGCACAAGGCAAATACGTTGTCTTCGGCCGACAGATGAAAAGGAATCAGTGGCATCTGCCTCCAGAACTAACTTTTGTCTTTTAGTTCTTTGTTAACCAGGGCTGTTTTACTGAGAACAGCGCAGTAGGGGTTCAACGCCTTGCTCTAGGGCACCACAGCACTTTACCCACACACAGTGATCCTGCTGGTGATCCTTCACTTCCAAGGGTAAATGCTAATTTCCTTAACTCATCACTCCTTGATACTCGACCCAAAAGTCATTGTGGTCCACCATCTTGACAGACGTCCCAAAGCTGTTAGGATCAAGGAGCGAGGAGGCTGCTGGAGGAGCCATGAGGACACAGGAGACCATTCTTCACAGAAGTCTTTTATGGACTGAAATCATCATTTTACCAGAAATGAGTTTGTGACTGGATGCTTCAAATGAAGGGATCAGAGGAAAGAACGTCTCATGTTTGTAAAAAAGTTTTCCTCAGATCTTATGTGGACGGAATTAAGATGCAAGGAAAACACACAAATGATGAAAATGTGGGTGCAATTAAAGGAACTAGGATTTACCCCAGGTGAAACTGAACAGCCTGCTCAGTCCGAGTTCACACTCAGGGGATTCAGACTGATGGAAGTGAGCAGCTCTGAACTGTCTAAATGCAGGCTCGCAGGTGGAGCAGCACAAGTTTGGTCTGTGCTTTATCAAGCTTTCTGTGGTTGAATTTACACTGAAGGGTTTGAACAGTTCCAACTGTAAGAGTAAAATCCAGTCCAAACAGGAGATTAGAATGTGTATGAACCAGCCCAAAGTTAAGGAGTAATGTTTGTATCACAGTAAATCAGTCTGGTCGGCATCCTGATAGAACAGAACAGAGGGGGCTCACACTCCCACAGAGGCTCTGGAAACAGCTCTGCAGCCTGGTTGGCTGCCTGTCAAAGCAGCCAATCAGCAAAGGGGAAGAGGTTCGCAATAAGCAAAGTGCACGGCTTCATGGTACTTGAGTCGGCACTCTGAGCCCCGGAGGCACCACGAGTGATGTCAGCGTCATGGAAGTGTGAGGACTAAAAATACTTTCTCACCCCGGCACACACGGAGTTCCAGGCAGAGCTCAGAGCAGCGTTTAAATCTGTCACGATTTATGACTGCTCATAACGAAAACAGAAGTACAGAAAGTGAATGAAGATGTAACATAATGATTATTTCATGGGTTGCATATTGATTTTGAACCCATTCAAAGGACAGCCTCTTGAAATGCAGCATCTTGTTTTTGAGGGGATTCATCTTCTGATTAACTTTAATAAAAATGACATTCAGTTTTAGCTTTTTCTTGTGTCTTCGCTCATTTACAGAGTTTGGTTTTGGAAATCAGTAGCCAGAGTCTAAACAGAGTTTGGTCACTTGTTTTTCTGGGCAAATTTAAAACAGCTCTGCTCATTATCATGTAACTGTGATTGTTAGGAACTGTGTTGTTGATTTAAGAAAAGTTTAAAATGGCAAAGACACAGAAATCCAATCCAGATCCAAATGGAATCAGCAAAAGCACCAGTAGGACCAGTAACTGGAGAAATGGTTCTGTTATGAACATGTGGCATGACATTTCTCATCCTCACAGCTGGATGAAGATAAACTGCGTGTGACAGTAAACAACTGATCAAGACTGAGATGAGACACTGCTTCATCCTTTTGCTCTTGAAATGTAGATTGTGAAAAAATGGGATGCAGCAAGTAAAAACCTGAACTGATACTTGAAAGTAAACATCAACTTTTTTCCATCCATCCATCTTCATCTGCTTTATCCGAGACCGGGTCGCGGAGGCAGTAGTCCGAGCAGAGGGGCTGTACATAAAGCTCAAAACCAGCACTTGTACACAGAAGCCTCACTGAGTGGGAGTCCTGTTGGCCCACAGAGGTCAACGTCCAGTCCATTTCTCCACAGTGTGTCAGAGCTGTTACTATGGCCAGAGAGGGAACAGCCCTCCATTCCCACTCCCCACTAGCACCTGCTCCAAAGTGCTGAGTTTCTCTGGATGACAATGCCCTGGCCTCCTGTACTGCTGTTAGTCATTTTTGACCAGGATATGTTCTTGATGCTGAAAAACTGGTCCATGCATTTGTTATTTCCAGGCTGGACTACTGTAACTCTTTACTATCAGGACATCCCAGTAAGTCCCTAAAAAGCCTCCAGTTAATCCAAAATGTTGCAACCAGAGTCCTGACAGGAACTAGCAAGAGAGATCATATTTCTCTGTCAAGCTCCTAAAGTTTGCTAATGACACAACGGTCATTGGTCTCATCAGAGATGGTGACAAATCAGCCTACAGACGGGAGGTTGAGCAGCTGGTCCTGTGGTGTAGCTGCAACAACAGTCCTATAAGTTCCTGGGCTCCACTATCTCCCAGGACCTGAAGTGAATGTCCAACATCAGGACCATCACCAAGAAGGCACAGCAGAGGATGTACTTCCTGCGCCAGCTCAGGAAGTTCGACCTGCCCCAGGAGCTGCTGATACAGTTCTACAGAGGAATCATCGAGTCTGTTCTCTTCAACAGAAAAGGTCACTGGTGCAACCTGCCCTCCATGGAGGACCTGTACATCTGACAGGTCACAATCTGTTTGAACTCCTCCCCTCTGGACGGCGTTACAGGTCACTGTACGCCAAGACAACCAGGCACAGGGACAGTTTCTTCCCCCAGGCCGTCACTCTGATGAACACTTGACCAATGACAGTATGATTAGACAATAACCCTCAGTGCAATGCCTGTAAATATACCTCGTACAAACCATACAGATCCTTACAGGTCTCTAGTACGCTGTTTTTATCCCTATTTATCTCATTTCAATGAACTTTCCTTTGTTGTCTGCATTGTTACTGTCTGTTCATACTGCTTATTCTGCATTGTTTGCACTTTCTGTTGCTTGTAAATACTGCTTATTTTTGTTTTATTACACAGCCTTATGCCGGTTTACTGTTTTGCACATTGAGAGCTGATGTACCAGAGTCAAATTCCTCATGTGGCCAACACACCTGGCCAATAAAGCAGATTCTGATTCTGACTCTCTGGCTAAAGACAAACGCTAGACGTCATCATCTCCATATAGTTTTCAGTTGTTAACTGAGTTTTGTTGCTTTACTTTTATGTTTGGATTTAGTTTGATTCCATATCTCTGTTCACATCAAACCTCAAGTACAAACATATTATTACACAACATGTTATCAACACACTTATCCACCCACACACATTCATACTCTATTGTCCTCCTCACATGCAGAAACACACTGCACACAACCACACTTTTGAGTCACACTGTTCACAATGTGTGTTGGCTCTGTAACCACAGTGCAATGTCTGTAAATATACCTCGTACAAACCATACAGCCAAGTGTGACTCCTACAGAAAAATAACACCCAGCACAGGAGACAACTGGGAGTTTGACACACACAAATCTCTGCTTTCACTCAAAAGAACAGTGGCGATATCTGCCAACCAGAGCTGGGCAGATCAGATAAATATAATCAATCCAACAGATTCAAACACATCCATCTCCTGGTATGAACCCTTAGACTACCTGGACCAGACCAAAACCCCGTGGCTGTTCTGTGTGTTGGGAGCACAAACTCACCGTAGCATATTTCAAGATGACATCAGCACGTTCCTCAGCTATTAGAGTCTCAATGTCTTTCTTCATGTCAATATCTGCAGAGAGAGGAGAGCAACAGCAAGTGAAGATGAGTCCAAGAACACAGCTGAGAGATGTGGGCGAGCGTTAGCCTCCAAACCTGCAGCATGAGCGGGCACCGCTCAGAGAAGCTGAAGCTCACCGAGCCTGCAGTGACTCCTCCACAGAGAACATCATCACCTCGTGTCATCACAAAACAGATTGAAGGTAAATGAAAGTTTGAAGCGAAATGCTTCAACTTGAGCACACAGTTTGGTTCACTCTGAGATTTATGAATCTTCTTCATGCATAAATGTTGAGACGAGATGAAAACAGAGACTGAACGGAGGTAACAAAAATAACTGGCTGTCGTGAGATCAGCTCAAGTGTGAGGTGAACACAAACAGACACACAGCTGGTGCAGCTGCTGCTAGCTAGCCTGCAGCTAACACACTGTACAGTGACTGTCTGGGGACAATGAACACTCCAGCGGTCAGTTTAGTGCAAATTCACCTAGTTCACACCTTTACACCGTGTAAATAACAGCTTGTTGATTACATGAACATAAGATGCATTAGTAATGTGAATTAGCAGTAGCACTGGGGGCTGTGTGAATGTAAGCTGGCAGTTACTCAGCTAGGCTGAGTGGGGTCTTTCTGATCAGTGTTTCATACAAACACTTGTGGCTGTGTACCGGTAGAAAACAGCCTGTAGCACCAGACCTGTTCTGACACACCAATAGTTACGATGTGGTCCTGAGGTTTGGAACCAGGTGATGAGTGGGCACCGTACGGCAGGTTTGTCCATAGAATGAGAGGGATGTACTGCAGTAGCACCAGCCCCCAGAGAACAATCACCCTGCCAGCGTTCATATGACTGTACCTACACCCCCACCCACCAGCCTCCCACAGGACATCTGCCTCACACTAACACTGGCTGATGAATATGCATGACTTCACATCCTCCTGTAGTGCTTTGTCCAATTATATTTCAGTTAGGTCTACTTTGTGTTGAGCCATTCAGCTTCTGTTGGCTAGTTGGAGCCTGACTACACTGTATATAAACCACAGCAGTACAGTGGACAGTACTGTCGGATCATAACATTTGTCTGAGCCACTCTTGTGTCTTGTAAAACAATGCACACAATCTCAGCTGGCTCTGCAGGGTTGCTGCTCAATCATCCCCAAACAAAGCAGCAAGGGAAATAATTCTGCTTAATCTACAGGAACATTTTCGGTGCAGATCTACACCAATGCCAAGATCTGGTGACTTGGTCTAGACACACAACAGGCTACAAAGGCCATCTGGGTTAGGGATTTCTCCAAAGCAATGCAATGAAAGTCTGTTATTCCCAAAGCAGGAACACACTGGAGACCCGGCAGATAGCGGGACACGATGTTGCATTAAACACAAGCAGGGTGTTCGGTTTACAGCAAGTCTGCATGTGGTACAGGAGTGTGGTCCCATGAAGACACAGCCGGGTCATTGGCCGGCTTGAAGTTAAATTGGTGTTAACTCCAGAAAAAGCCTCTGACTTTGAAGCTCTGGCTCTGATTTCCACTTGGACTCTGGACTAAATTATGTATTAAAGTGTAGATGCTTCTTCTCTGAAGCCAGAATCACAGACTGGCCAGTTTATCAGGTATCACAAAGCCAACCTGGTGCCAGAAGTCTGACCCAGTTCTACAGTTACAGTAAGCACAGCCTGTACAATAACACTCATCTGCTCTCTGTCACAGCCTGTTATCAGCTTTCAGTCCTAAGGCGTGCCAAATTACTAAAACGTCTGGGGAATCGTAGCACTATGACAGCAATGGGGACAAAAGCAGAGACGTATAATCAAACGCAGCACTGATCTGCAGTTTTCATGTTTTAAAAATGTCCTGGTCAACTCTTTCATTGCTAAAAGTCCAAACATCACGTTTCCAGAGCTCAAAATGATGCCGTTAGTTGTTTTGTCTGACCAGAAATCCAAAGATTCAGAGATGAAAAAGAAAAGCAGCAAACGTTCACATGTGAGAAGGTGCAACCAGAGAAAGTTGTTTTGTTTTGAGATTATTTTTCTTGATAAGTGTCAGAATAGTTTCACGTTACATCCGTGGCCTTGTCTACAATACTTCTTCATTCAAAGGCAGTTTTGTACCATGGAGTCTCAGACCTGCTTTTTAGTGTGATGGCCTAAATGCTCCTGTTTTTCAGAGATTTTTGCAGAGGTTCATCTAGAGAGGCTGATGGCTTTCAGAGGCTTTAAATATGAGCCGTGATCTGAAGCACATGGCAGCAGCTACATGTGGTCAGCACACTAAATCACAGAGAAGCTCTGGCTGGAGTCCCAGTATGAAGGGTGGAGGCCCAAACTGGGAGAGAGCAGCAGATCCTTACCTGACAGGAGGCCGACAGGCAGAGACCTGGATGGTTTCCTCGCTAAGCACACTGGCTGAATTTCCTGTCTGTCCATGCATCTGTCCAAGTTATGACCTCATTAAACAAACTACATCCCAGAGCCTGAGACTCTGGACTTGGATCCGAGTCAGACTTTTTTGCTGGGTAATTTATGATCAGAGGCAGGAAGCCAACAGAGCAAATGTCATGTTCAACCTCTTTGAATCTGAACTAGCGAGGTGGGAAAACACAGATGTCTATGATGAAGCAGTGGCTCATGAACACCACATACTTTTTACCTGACATATTTAACCAGGTGACACTATTCCATCGGGATGCTAATGAATTAAAACTCATGTCAGGCTGTGCACAGTCCCCATAAGGGATCTGTTGGTTCCAGACACAAAATGTAATTTTTGCAATTTTCTTACCAAACAAACACTTAGTTCAAGGACCAGCTGATTCTGATCATTCTGATCGATTAATCACACGTTTGTTGGAAGTTTGCACCACTGAACCACGATGTCAGACTGACAGGTCCATCCTCCATCTAGTGAGTAACTAAGGCTGAAACCAGCAATCTTCATTATCAATACATCCGATAACTGTTTTCTTTAAAAATCTACTGTGTATGTCAGCAAATAGTGAAAATGTGCAAATTAACATATTATAATGTTCGTTTTCTCTAAGCAGCTAAAAAAAATACAAAGATAATACATTTTGTGTTTTATTTCATGTTCATCAAACCTGTTGCCAACTCATTTTCTGCCAGCCCAGTCACCTGCTCAGCTCTGCAGCAGGGCTGGAGACGTGTGGCTCAGTGGGGCCCAACAGCAGGGAGCCACATCGGGCCGTGGAGTAGAAGCTGTAATTCCTTTATAAATACTAGTTTTCTATTGATATTTTAGAAAGAAATGTTGAATTTTTTTAGCCGGTAGTTGTCCCTGAGCTCCCTTAAACACACTAAAACACACAGCAGTGACTGCTGGCGTGTCCGTCAGCTGTTGTCGTTACAAACTGTGCTGAACATAACTAGTGTGTTATTGCAGCAGCATCTACTCCGCGCGTCCCGGCCTCCTCCTCCTCCTCCTCCTCCTCCTCCTCTTCCTGCTGCTTCACCGTCTCCATCAGGGGGACGTGCACAGGCCGGAGGACGCTGGTCCAGGCTGCGGTTTCACCGGGACCCGGACCGACGACGCAGTGTCATTTGATGGTGGTAAACAAACCCACAGCATCCTTGATTAGAGACTGTGCTACAGCCTCACGCGAGATCCTTTTATTCTGACGAGAATTGCATGAAAAATACACATACAGTTGGAAATAAAGAACCATGTAATTACCGCGATTGCTGTGTTTGTTTCTGCGCTATCGGTGCAGTTACACAGCTCCGGTTCCTCTGGGCATTCTCCGGTTCAAGTGCAGCTCCAGCAGAACAAACCACCGGGCTGACAACAATAGCCTCCCTCCGTCAGTCCATAGGTTACCGTCACGCAGCACATGCACGCACACACACAGCGTGCAGCAGGCGTACGGGACACAGCAGCTCGTCCTGGTCCAGGATCCGAGCAGCAGCGGAGGCGCACTAAGCAGGCGCCGCGCCGTGGCACGCGTCAGCCTTGTGCGAGTTGGAAGACCCGGCCTTAAAGACACAGCGGCTCCCAGAGCGCGGCCTCGGTCCGGACACACAGAGGCTCGCTGAGGGAGTCTCCTGCCGCCATCTGCTGGAGAGATGCGACTGCACCGGCGGAGGAGGTGATGCTCTGTACACAGGGATGAAGAGACGACGGCCACACCAGAAAGTCAGGACACCACACGGAGCTCACACAGCTGTTAAAACCGAGGGTATATGGAATACAAAACATTGGTGCTGTGTGAATTTTATTGAGCCTATAAAGAGTGATAAGGTTTCTCCACTTCAAGTCATAAACAAGCATATAATTCAAGCATAATTATAGTTTGCAAACCACCAGAAAACAAAGCAAAGCTGGTAGGTGGTTAAAAACAGCCACATGGCAACAAAGACTGATCAGTTAAGGCACAGCTGTGTCATTATCATTATGTATGATCTGAGCGGATTCATGCCATCCCTGAAAGAAAAAGTAACTAAAAGTCAATTAACAGCTTATTGTGTCTGGTAATTCAAATTGTGACAAGGATCAAAACACAAAATATATTCATAAGAAAGTGCAAAGACTTGGCGGCCAAGCAAACAGCAGGTCTTCACAAGGTCACAAAACAGAGAGCCGGGATTCACCGGCACATTCACAGGTCAAAACTGCACGAACATGACAAAATTCAAGCTCACATATCTCACAGTCCCATCTCACCTCAGTCACTTCCCTGAATTTAGAAACATGTCAACTCTATGTAGCCAGGTGGTTAACATATGCTAAGGGGAGATAAATAAATAACTCAGCTGTTCTCCACTGATGGTGAAAGGTTCCCAAAATGTTTTCAACATTCCAAATGTCATGTAATGTTTATAGTTTTCATGTTAATGTAACACAGTTCAATTCTGGTGATATGTAAAAGTAACCTACAGTTGGCTAATGGAGTTTGATGCTACCTAGTATCTTGGCCACTAGATGGCAGTACGGACCGACAGGTGTACATTCCGCCAGAACTTGACCAAATGCATTGAGGTCTCTTCTTTCTTTTACGTTGGACTTAACTTGAGAGTGGAGCGCCGTGATTTTTTTGGACTTATGTAAGTAAATATGCAGAAATATTGTTGGATTCTGTTGTGTCAAAACTTTAAAGAGGTCATTTATAAGAATTCTAACAAGATGATGCATTATAGATCTGACATGGAGCGGGTGAACTTTTGGCGGAATGTAAGTGTCTGTATGTATGTGAATGTGGTATTTTACAAATTCTGGGTGACTGGTTATTTGTTTTTTTACATATTTTATTTTGTTTGTATGTGCATCCAGAGCCCACTGCCGTATTTTTGTTACCCCTTGTTTTGCTACTCCGTATTTTGTTACTCCTTTTTTTCGTGTAAATAAACTGTGACCTGCTGGACATCGAAGTTGCGAGAACCCCAGTAATTGTGTCCCACGCGGCAACCATTTTACCCGGGCTACATCTGTTTGTTTGTTCACCTCCACTTTAAGCCCCCCAGTGTCAGCAGGCTGCTGAGGCTCTGCTGTCTCTGCTGGACCAGTTCCATCTATAAAGTGTGAAATGTTCTTGCAACAGTGCTGTATTTATTCAGTGACCTAATATTTACATTGATATAACAGAAATGTTTTCTTGTTAATGTCACTTCTCTAAAGCCTGTGAGCAACTGTACACTTATTTCAACACACGTCTGCATTTCACACAGCTCCAAACACACACATTGTGCTATTTTCGATGTGGTTTTACAAATTTAGATCCGAATGGCTACCTGCTGCAGGATCTGAGGTGGGTGAGACGATTTGTCCATGTGATCACCTCACTGTAACAAAGCAGTGACTTTCAACAAACTGTAGTGACAGGCCGCCTTCAGCAGCCGCCCGGTCAGTTCATCCAGGCGTAGGCATAGAGGCCGTTCTTCTTCCACAGCTCACACTGAGCAGCCGAGTACTCGTGGACCAGTGACAGGCTTTCGGACAGGAGAGCAGTGCCTGCTGGGTACTCAGACCACTTCTCATCCACCTTACCTGCAAGACAAACAAAAGTTCAGTTCTCAGTCAGGCAGGAAGAGAAGCTCAGGTCAGCTGACCCTGTTTTGGAAGAGACAGGAGTTTGAAGGATTCACACCACATGACTGAATGAAAGTGAGACTTGAGTGTTTGTGTAAACATGTTTTCAGACCAAACGTGGAGCAAATATTGCCTTGTTACACAGTGCACTCTCTGTGCACTGGCCAAGCCTCTTCCTGTTCTGTGACTTCAGTTGATAGAGAAATTAATCGATCCCAGTTTTTGAGCTTTGGTCAGTTATCAATTAAAAATACCAAATGTGTCCTGTCCACGGCTTCAAAAACAGCTACAGTGGTTCTTCTTGTCACTGATGAAGACAGAGTAAAAAAGGACCTCTGCTGTGGACTGGCCCCTTTTAGAAATGCATGTGCATAGTGGGGGTTACAATTTAAACCTTACATGAGCTTCTGAACATGGTGGGAAACATAAATGAAAACTTCCCCCAAAATCTGCTCATCAAACACTGTACTGACTTTACCAGCCACTTTCATGCCTCCAGGAATGTTTTATTGAACAAAGGAATCATTTATCATTAAGTTCAGAAGGAAAATGGGCGTCCAGCTGCGGGAAGTGTGTTCACCTGTTCTGGCGAATGTGACAAGGTGGTGCGTGATGAGATCCTGGAAACTCTTGTCATGATCAGAGAGCGGCTTCCCCAGGACAAACTCCAGCCCTCCGAAAAAAGCCATGGCATCCAGACAGTGGAAGGAGAAGCGGCTGTGGAACGGCAGAATGTCGCTGGTCGTGGTGATCGGTCCCGACGGTGTGTGTGTCACCACGTATCGATACACAGGACTGTTAAGGGTCTCTGCAGACAGGGAGAGGTTACTCAGTGTGAAGAGATGAGCTCTGGGAAGTTAAGACAGACACTAGATGATGATACACGTCTCCAGAGTCAGGGGCTCCAGGCGTTCAACCACTGTTCATAATACGACTCAGTACATCAAGATACTGCCTGTGTTAGAAATGCAGCCTTTCTTTCATTCATAGTGAATGTAAATATTTCTATCAGGAAACAGCTGCAGCTCTGGCGGCATATCCTGCAACTGTGTCCGTTTGTTTTGTCTTTTTGCCCCCACTGGCCAACAATCCCTTATCTCATCTGTAACAGGCCGGGGCAGGGCTATAACACCTCTGTCCAGTCAAAACATCAGTCTTCACATTAAAAGTTCAACACAGTTGCTGTTGAGCTCTTGTCAAAAACTATGTGGGGCTCCTGCTATTATTCAAAATAACTTGGGCTTGAAGTGTGGTCATAATTTAACGAACCAAGGCTAATTTTTAGCATCGGTTTATTTTGAGCACAGCCAGTGGGACCAGTACTGTGCTGGTTTTCACTGAAGCCCATTAGACAAAATCAGCAGCAGAATTCCAAAGAGTGAAAACAGTTTATTGTAGTAAAACCTGAGGGCACAGTGTGAGAGCTGTATGAGTTACCTGCAGCCCTCCTGGCCAGGTCGTTGCTGGGACAGGTGGCCCTGATGTCAGACACCATGGTGGTGTAGGCCCTCTCGGGACAGCGGTCTCTGGTGGGACAGGGGGCTGACGTCGGGTACAGGTCCAGTGCCTCTTTGGGGAGAGTCTCACTGAAGGACTGAAGTTTAGCTGAGGGGAGCAGAGAGGAGACGGGACATGGATATGACTGGGTTTACCAACAGATGTACTGCTGAATGAACAGCATCCAGAGTGTGACGTTAGGGCGTATTAGCAATCCACATGCAGTGGTATCTGGGTCAGGGCTGTATGACAGATGGCTTGTAGCGCCACAACCCCCTCGCTCAGTGTTTAACATGTTCTAACATCATCAAAATGGTCACAATCCACAGAAAGCCACAATCTGGTAAACATACACCAGGCTGAAATGAACCAGAATGATCCTATAACTGAAAGGGGTCTGTAATATTCTGCCCACCCCCTTACTGCCCCCTGCACCACCACCATCATCGACCAGCAAGTTAAACTGCATCCGTCCTAACTCCTAGCTGTCCACACAGGAGCTGTTACCTGTTACGAACCAGCAGTAGTCTCCCCAGGTCCACACAGAGATGTTTTCAGGAGGACTACAGAGGAAACAGAGGACTGAGTACAGTCTGACCACGACACCAGACGACAGCAATGCACCTGAACTAGGAGAGCTATCACCTTAAGTCAACCTCCTGCTGTGTCGTCCCAACCATGAAAGGCACATCGCTGTAGTCCAGCTTCTTCTCCCACACCTCAAAGGGTGGAGCTTTGAGGACAACTCCATCCACCACTGCCACCGGGCCGATGAAGCGCCCTTTGGTAGGGAGGTCTACTATATCCTCTGCTGCCCAGGAGGGGTATTCCTGCCATGGGACGGCCTGGGGAAAAGGAAGAGGTGAAGTACTTCCACCTAGTTAAGTTAAAGTACAGAAGTATTAGTGTTAAGAAAAGGTACCTAAAGTATCAAAAGTAGAAGTACTGTGACTGATAATTGAGTCTATGTGCCATCATTAGATTGTTAATACTGCTCCAGCTGGGGCTCCTATTCCAAAGCTAATGCTCATTTATAATAACTAATTATTTAATCATTTAAACAGGAGGTTCCCAACCTAGGAAGCTGGGCCTCAAAAGGGTCACCAGATAATTCTAAGCGGTCAAATGTTAATGGGAAAGGAAACAAAGATCTGACACACTGATCTGTTTTAATCCTCTAGTTTTTGTGAAATATTGAATAACCGGACCCCTCAAAACACACACACACAAATCTGAACAGCGACTAGAAGAGTGATCAGCTTTTTGTAGGGGTTCACAGGCCGAGAACAACAGGAACTATTGGTTTAATGCTGGTGTTTCATCAGCTCATCATGTTTGTCCTGAGGACCAGTGTCACTGCTGACTCAGGAGCATTTTTATAGATTTGTATCTACCAAAATGAAGCTGATCGAAATCGGATGCTTTCTTTCCTGAACTTTCCTGTTTTGTTGCCTCAGCCTGCTGCAGCTACAGTGCTGCTCTCCTTAATACCAGCCAGTGGTTTTCTGCCTTTAAATAAAAAACTCGCCATCAAAAACACTAAGTTACTGCATAAAATAAACAGACAGTACCTTGTTGAAATCTTGCAAAATAATAAAGGCAAGAGAGTGATTAAACTACACCTGCTGGACAAAGTCAGCCTGAGTGGCAGCGAGGAAACTTTAAAGTGGAATTTTAAAACCCTAATAATAATAACATGTAAAAGTTCAGTTCTCACACTTTTTACTGACTGAACATCCATTATTCATAATTCACGCTGGGTTACAGACGGACATGTCGACTGGAAGCTCTTGTTAAAATCCCTCCAGGATCTTTAATTCAGTAAATCTCTCAGGTCTCAGAGTGAAGGTGTGGACACCTGCGTGTAACCAGTGCTTTAATACCTGTATGTGACATTATAATGCACGAAAAATTCACAGAAGGGGTCATGATATCACAAAGGTGAGCTATGAATCATATTTTATGAAATCTTTTGTATTAAAGGGTTTGAGGGGTCTGTTTGTTTCTTTTATTCGACTGTTTTAAAGCTGCCTGCGACAGAGATGATCAGATCGCACACGGACTCGGCGCCTACGTTGAGACAAGCAGGTCTCTACCTGTAGGACCTCTTTGACAGACAGATGTCTGAGACAGGTCAGGTTGTCGCAGTGCGACTTCTTCAGGAACACCAGGTTGTCGGACTCGGCTTGTTTCAGTGTCGCGTTCAACACGTACGAGCCGCTCATGTCCACCGCCCTGTGGAAGAGACCCTTCGCCAGCGGGGACGTCATCAGGGCCAGCACCGAGGTCCCACCTTCACAGGAGCACAGACAGTCAGTCAAACTCAATGCTCTGGTCTTAACTGTTCAAATAAGCCAGTCGGTAGTTTTTTTACAACTATATACAGCCGTTTTAGTTATTGATAAGTAAACGGAAAAAAGAGGCAGTGTTTGATAAGGTGCTCATTGCTGAGCAGGACATTTTACAGTGTAAAAATAAGTATAAGAACTACTGCAGGTGTTAACTTGACCACTGATAATAACAAATGGAGTCTCCTGTCACCGCAGTAAAGTGAATTAATGAGATAAAAAGTCAAAATTAAAAAGTCCAATTTATGAAGTAATGACTTTATAAGATAAAAAGTTAAAATGTTGAATTAAGTTCAAATGTTTTTTTTCAAAGTTCAGTTTCAAGTATTAATTCTGAGTTGAATAAAGATGTCGACACCATTATGTACACGACCAACCAGTGACTGCTGTAAAATAGGTGAACTTGTGTGGCAGGTTTGACTCTGCACGAGTACCAGCGCTCAGACCCAGCCACACACTTCATGGACTTGGTTAATGGTCTCATACCCGAGCTATGCCCGTAGATGGTGACTCTCCCAGGATCTCCTCCGAACACGTGGATGTTCCTCTGGACCCACTTCAGAGCTGCGATCTGGTCCATGAAGCCGTAGTTCCCTGCAGAGCAGAGCAGCAGGAGGGACCGGTCAGAGAATCTGCTTTGATGTGGCCTCTTTTCCACCGTCCCACTTTCTCCATCAGAAACAAACCGGCAGCTTGAACTAAATCTAACTCTTTTCAAACTGAGGAAATGGGGCATGAAATTAGGAGGATTCAAAATTAGAAATGTGAGTGAGAGATAAGACGGAGAGGACTCGTGCTCCCTGCCATCACGCCATGTGAGGCTCTCTCTTTCAACGGGTCATTTCACATTCAGGTCACCACAGGCTTCTCTGGATTATGCAACTGAAATTACCCAGCCTGACTCACAACATGCCAATTTGTGTCCCGCAGTGTGTGGAAATGCAAACAGGAGCATGACAAAGGCAGCCTCAGACATTAGCTCCATTTATCCACATCCCATTAACATTCATCCCCTCTGAGCGGGCGGATGCAGACCTCTCAGCATTCAGTCGGACTCGGGCAGAACGTCAGCACCATAATTATTTCAAGGTTCCGTTCAAGTGGTCCGTTCAAGCTTGTAAGGAATTGGCCACGTACCCATTACAGCTTCTTCAACACAGCACAGTGACAGGAGCTTTCCACCACTTCTTCTTCTCCAACTTCTGGATCCTACTTTGTGTTTTTGCCTCAGCATGTGCTTTACTCTACTTCAGTTAGTCTGTCCAATCAAAACGCTGCTGCCATTTAATCCAATCCCCTGCCCCACACCAACTATTTCAAACCATTTTGAAACTAATGGTGATTTATTAGCCAGCTATTAACAATAGTGTGATTTGTCCCAGGACCTTTTGCACAAACTCAGGATAAACACCAATAAGGTAAATTCCTGGATTAGTGTAATATAGACCTAGTTGCTCTAGAATAAGGAGAATAAACTCAGCGCACAGCAACTGCTGGTAACTATTTAATGACAGGATGTTGCCCCATGTAATGTGTGTATAATATAGGGATTGTTTGTCTTTGCTACACCGGCGTCTGATAAAAGACTACTAACTAAATAAGAGTCTCTGAAGGAAAGAGCTGGTCTGGTACCCAGTGACACTCCTCCTACATTTACTTTATATGTGAACAGTGTGTTTACATTACAGTGCAAAGCACAAATGAAAAGGTGAGGCTGCTAATTGTTAAACTGCCAAGCTTCACATCAGAAAGAAACATGTTTACAGTCTGGTACAAAAAAACTGTTTTAGCCTCTGAAGCTAATTTCCTCTTCCATTTCAACTGTACAGGGGCAAATCTTTCTTATAACTTGCCCGTTTAAATTCTACTGAGATTAAAACGAACACATAACTAAAGGTGTGGCCACTTTGAGTGACAGGCGGGTGGGGTCCACCCTTGTGTTTTTTTTTTGTCCAACAAGCTCCACCTCTCTGCCCATTTTTGGATCAGATGTAGGAGGTGGAGTGAGGCGTTATCAATATGGTGACGGCCGGACTTGAGCTTCAAAATCGCTCTTCAGAAAACCACTGAGTGACATCACGGTGGGTTTGTCTATCTTTTATATACAGTCAATGTTACAGAGACCCTTCTGAGTCTTTACAAAAGACAGTTTAACAGTGATTCGGGAATTACTCATATTCACTTGAGTGAAAAGAGACTACTGACTGTGTGGAGATGCAATCAGCAGGTCACTGATCAATCAAATGATCATCATCCTGATGATCTGATCGACCTGTTTATTCCCAGAATGTCAGACACTGGGGGAAAGTCCCACTGTGACTCTTCAGAGCCAAAGTGTGGTGTCTTCACATGTCTTATTGTGTCCAACCATCAGATCCACAGAGACTCAGCTGATTCTCATGTCTGACAAAGAAAAGCATCAGCTCCTCACATTAAAGAAGGTGGAACCAGAACATGTTGGTGGCTGTTGCTTCTAAATAGCTGGCGGTTAATTTTCTACCAGTGAACTAACTCATGGCTGCAGCTCTAGGTCACTGAATGGCTTCATGAGGACGACACAGTGTGTTGGACACAGTGAGGGGATCTGGTTTGGAAGGAGGAGGTTGGTGGAGACCTGACGCTGCTCTGGAGACTCAGCCCTGACGAGGCCCTGCTGGGGACTGGGTGGGGGTTTTAACTTTATCAATGAGCTGTTTCCCCCAGTGTGAGTCACTGACCTGAGGTGTTGGTTGGAGAGCCTTCTCTCAGTATCTCCAGTGCCAGGAAGCCAAAGGCGTTGAGTCTGTAGTTGAAACTGACGTGAACCACTCCTGTGTCGGCTGCCAGCTTCTCTGAGGGCGAGTAGCTCTGTTCTCCTCCACTGAGCATGTGCAGGTATCCTCCGTGGATCCAGACCATGACAGGCAGCTTGGCGTCCGGCTGCAGTTTGGGCGTCCACACGTTGATGAAGAGGCAGTCCTCCTGGCCCATCACCCTCCCCTCGCTGGTCAGCGGCCGCACCTGGGCGCACATGCTGCGGAAACGACTCGCGTCGATCACTTCATTCCCGCACACCGGATCAACTGGAGGTGCCCAGCGCAGGTTACCAATGGGCGGGGCAGCGTAGGGTATGCCCTTAAAGGAGTAGGCTCCATTTTTCTGCAAGGGTACAATAAACCAGTTAGAGCAGGAACACAAAAACACACTGCACTTTGTGCTCACATGAATCCAATCAATCAACACATGCAGCTGTTTGTTTAGCTTCGCCCTGCAGAGGATCAGCTCATTGGTTTCCAATTTTTAATAAAAATACTGGAGTCAAAGGTCTATTTTAAAGGTGTCTGAGCCTTCTCATGTTTTCTTTTCTATTGTCTTTGTGATACTATGCAAAAGTTCCGCTGTGGTAAATGCATGTTTAACCAGACTACCTGGCTTCAGGAGGCCACAGGTTTTCATGCTGACAATGGAAGGATACTCAGCAGTGTTTACACTAAACACTGCCACATGACCAAGGCTGAATATTCCTCTGATATAATGTGAAGAGAAAGTGCAATAGAAACCACTGAAGCAAAAAACATTTCAACCTACATATACCATTTCTCAGTGTTGCATTTTCCCCATGTTTTTACAGTCAAAAACGTACATTTGTCTGTTCTAATGTTGGAGCGATGCACTGGTTAGTGTATAAAAACCTGGGTCATCCTTCCTACAGGATCCTGACATGGACTGAACAGTTCACAATAAAATGAATAATTACTCCTAATATTGTGACCCTCTCATGTATGTCAGTGGGCAGGACAAAAATATACAGACACCTCTGAATATTATGTAGTACAGTACAACACCACCTTTAACTATGACCCCATAATGAACATATAATTGAATTTATACATTTATGACAATCTCACCAAGAACTGAAACATTTTGAGCTTCAACTCATCAGTCCACTTTAACTCACGTGTCTTCCTCTGAACTCTCCACAAGCTGTGGACACCTGGACGAAGCCGGGCGGCGTCTGGGCCACGTAGCCCAGGTAGGTGGCCAGAGCGAGCAGACTGAGCACGCCGAGGCAGATCAAGAAGATGCAGCGTTTGGACAGCACCAAGAAGGGGCTGACGTAGTTCCTGTGGGAGACGTACTGCACCTCATCCTCATCCTCTTCCTGCACCAGGTACCGGTACTCTGTCCTCTCCGCGACCTCGAACGCATCCTCATTCATCTTCACTCTGGGACAGAAGACAACAGAACTGTGGGTCCACTTCACCTCAGGCCAGACTTATTCTGTCAGATGGGGAACATAAACCTCCAAGAGGGTAGGGACGGGGAAAAAAAACATACATAAAACATGAGAGCAGCCGCATGGCCCTTTACCTGTACATCTCACTCTCTAACCTCGGTCAGACCAATGAGCCACACACTTTAGCCTGGATAAAGGTTAAAGCAGACTGATGGTGCTGATTAGTGTTTAACTCCAGGGTCAAGAAACAACAGTCAGTACAAAGCTGGTGGGGAGAAGTCATTTAATGGAACAGGTTCTTTGCAAAAACCAGAAGAGCCTTGTGTTTTTGAAAGAAATGAGCCTCGGGCCCTTTCTCCTACTGACACACTAGACGTCTGGGGCGGAGCTGACGCAGCTCAGAGAAGAAGGACCGTCCAAACGCCTCCTTGCGCGCTACGCAGCTCTCATCAACAACGATCCAAGGTTACTGCTGCAAAACAGGCCCGACCACTTAGACCCAAGGGTGCGTTTACTATTCCCACCAGCACTGTGGTTGTTTACTGGGTATGTTCAGTAACACCGCTTACTGCACAGTGTGTAAGTAAATAATCTTTGGTTGAGGCAACACGCACACAAACTCTAGAAAGGAAAAGGGAGAGAGTTGAGGAACAATACTCGGACATGGTGGAGAGGAAACAAGCAGAGCCCCGTGGGCCAGTACTCAGACACTTCATGTTTTTACTGCCCACACAATTTGAATGCATGAAACATGACCTAGTATTTCTATGTAAAATACTTAATAAAATCCAGAGTCGAATCAAAAGCTCTGGTGCGTCTGAATCTGACGAGTTAACGGGAAACTTTGGGAATAAAAATAAACAACAAGCCTGATCATGTTCATAAAGCAGAACAACATCTCAAATCTGGCTCAACAGTCTCTGCTCCAACGCCTCAGACAACAGCAGCACAAAAGACAAAGACACAGCTTCATGACTTACCATCACATGTAAATACAACGCAGGGTAGATGAAACTCTTCAAAGCAAAGAGTCGACGCTTAAGTTCTCCACCTGACGCAGTGCGCATGCCCTCCGCCTCCCCTCTTATTTAGCATTTTTAAAGGCGCAGGGTATAATGTGTTGCTGGGCACTGGCAGGTACACCCCGGTGGCTGGGTGTAGCCACATGACCACCCAGAAATAATCAAATAGGATGAATATTGGTTCTTCTCAGGCCCATGTAGCTACAGTGGAAAAAACCAGACTAGGAGGAACAAGAAAGGGCCAACTTGGGATTTTATAAAGGAGAAATCAATAATACCGTACCGTGAAATATTGTTCTAGGTACAGTCAAGTCAGATTTGTATAACCAATATAACAAGGTACAAGTTTATCCTCATGTTTGATCTAACAGTAAATGTTAGAAAAGTAAAAGTGTCACTTTGTAAAACTGCTCAGACCAGAATAACTTGTCATTAACAGTCTGTGGTGTAAGACAAGGCTACAGAAACACACCTGAGATCAACTCACACCTGACTGGACATAAGAGCTGCATTCAGTGTCAGCACACCCACCTAAAACCTTTTAACACAACAGTTAATTCTGCTGTTTCAGATTTCACAGTTAAGTCAGCTTACATGTTCTTTAGCCAAACCTGTTGTTTCTCTGTTTTGTGTGCTATTAGCAGCAAAAATAACTCTGGTCAGTCCATGTGGATGAGCTGCAACAGCTCCATGTGGTTTCACATGTCCACACCTCAAATATCTGTTGTTTACCACAATCAATGTGGAGCATTCACAATCAGCATAGAGGCCCTGGAAGTGGCTCTGTCACCATCAGCATCTCAGAACTCACATTAGTAAAGTCAGTGGAGATCAGTGCAGGACAGGCCATGTGGTCTTAGGTAAATGTTTCCGTTCATTGTCTGACCAGAGGGATTGACTGAGTCCTGGAGGGCGCAGTTTCTGCTCCGTCAGCCACTCTACTTACCGATCAGAGAGAGAGAAAGATGCAGCGGTGTCTGGAAATATTTTAACCACAAAGGGAATCACTTCTCTCAATGTGAGTTTCACTGTGAGTAAGACCACAGAAAGACGGAAGTCAGTCAGCTGTGACTATGTGATGGACAGAATAATGTGCACATTAAGTCAGATCCAGCAGTGGAGCAACGTTTAATGGTCCAGTACTAAACATCCCTCTTACTAATGCTTACTGGGAGTAGATGTAGTTAGTGGAGGATGCCAGCAGGGGGAGACTTGAGCTGTTAAGCTCTGTGAAAGCACACACAAGTCATTACTTGAGTAGAGGAAAGTTTGTCAGAATCAGCTTTATTGGCCAGGTGTGTGGGACACATGAGGAATTTGACTCTGGTACATTCGCTCTCAGTGTGTATATACATATCCCCATGCAAGGGGCAAGTAAACAGGAGACCAGCATAAGGCTATATAACAAAAAATAGGCAGTATTAACAAGCAACAACCAGGGCAAACGATGCAAAATGAAGCAGTATAAACAGACAGTAAAAAAAATGCAGACAGACAAAGGAATGCTCATCGAGATGAGATAATGAGGTAGAATAAAAACAGAGTACTTAAAACAGAGACCAGGGCAAGGGGCAAGTAAACACAGCATAGGCTGTGTAATATACCAAAAATAAGAAGTATTACCAAGCAACAAACAATGCAAAAAAATGCAGCCTGTACGAATCTGTATGATCTGTACGAGGTATATTCACAGGTACTGCACTGAGGGTTATTGTCCAGTCATACTGTTATTGGTCAAGTGTTCATCAGAATGATGGCTTGGAGGAAGAAACTGTCCCTGTGCCTGGTTGTCTTGGTGCACAGTGACCTGTAGTGCCGTCCAGGGGGAGGAGTTCAAACAGATTGTGTCCAGGGTGTGAGGGGTCTCCAGTGATCCTCTCCATCCTCCTTTTGACCCGTGTGGTGTACTGGTCCTCCATGGAGGGCAGGCTGGCCCCAATGACTTTTTCTGCAGTCCTGACTGTCCGCTGATTTTTAGAGTCACCATGAAAGGTGACTGGACTAGAACAGATCCACAGTGTGGATTACCACCTGTAGAGCACAGTGTCTGTGTGAGAGGACATATGTTTATGTTTCATGTTGCTGTTAATCTCACCCAAGCTCCTCCAAGTGCCTGAACACCTGGAACTTCTTTCAACATTCATTTGGACTGAGACGACAAAATTCATCCTTTCACTGTGTTGTTGTTGTGTTTCTTCTTTTCAGACACTGAACCAGATTTTAAAGTCAGGTCCTTGTTAAATCTCTAAAGGTTTGTGTCTGAAATCACTCGTATTTACAATATACTGCACTGTTTTTATCCCCCATCATTTTATCTGAATTCTGAACATGCATCTTTCCACCATCAACAGTTGCACAGTGGAAACAGGAACACCGTGCACACTACTTTCTTCCAAAAACAGTGGTGTCACACTTAAAGAAGACATGTCGACACAGTTTCTGAGGCTCGTTTCACTGCGCTAAAAGTCCCATGTCTCCCCAAACCTGGTGACATCACACTTGTCATGCTGGTTTTAAATTTGGATTGTGCTTCTCATTCTGCCACAGTCTTTCACTGCAGCACAACACTCCTGCCGTTTACCTGCTTCCCTGAATTTGTTGCTTGGTTGGGTTGTTGGCATGCTGCTGACCTGCACTTGGACTCAGGTGACCCCTGCTCAGGTACCTATATCGTGTAGCTTACACTGTGTAAATTGAGGAGTCTACTGTAAATAAAAGCTAAAAATGTTTATCTATGACTGCAAACATATTATTGGGGGGTTCTGGCAAGCTGTAATAGGTACTTTTTACCAGTATTTTGTAGACAAAATGACTAATCGGTTAATCAATCTTTGCTGGCTGCAGCCCTGGAGCTCGCCAGTTTTTCTCGCTGTGTATATGTCTGTGGTGTGCAGTGAGCAGTACAGCCTCACAGGGCTGCTATCGCCACTACACAGACATTTAGTCTTGTTTTAAAATTGCTCCCATTCCTCACAAACTATTTAGCAGCAGTAACATTTCCTTTCACAGTGTGATGAAACAAGATTGGGCTGGAAAAGTAAAAAAACAACAACAACAACAAATGATTGGTTTCAGTTTTGCCCGGCTGGATAACTGCAGTTTCGGAATCTTGTTTACTCCTAGGGAGGAAACATTCATCTACAGCAGCCAGCCAGGAGGCCAGATTTACTCTGTGACTTATGAATGGCAGCCGACCATTTCTCTAGGCTGTGTGTGTACTAGCTTTGGCTATTTTTGTGGGGACCACTTAGAGAATGTTCCGGGAAAGTCGGAACATTTTGGCCAGTCTTTACTTTCTGACACACCTCCAAAGGGCGGTTTGAGGGTTAGGGCTTGGATTTAGGGTTAAGGTGAGGATGTTCCTAAGAGGTTAGGGATGCTTAATGTCAGAGTGTCCTCACAGAGTTAGGAGTACTAGTGTGTGTGTTGGATGACAGCTGATTTCAGGCTGACTCGCTGGCAGGAAGTTCAGAGCGCCACGTAAATGCATTTAAACTTATTTTATTTGGCTCTGGATTTATGGACCACTTCCCTTTCCCAGTCACTTTTGCTTGTGCTGAAAAGGAAACCTTGTGCACTTTGAGAGATTTGAAGGCCAATTCTTAGGAGGAGAATACAGCTGAACTCCCACTAAGCTATAATCAGTGTAAAGCAAAAATAGCCTAAATCATTTTCTAATTATCTCTTTGAATTGAGTAAAGGATGGTCTGGAGCTTTCCTTAGTGTTCAGGTACAGCTTGGGCTGGTTTCATCCACTCGTCCCTGAAGACCCGTAGAAAAGCACAAAAGCTGTGTGCAGCTTTTTAACACACATGGGAAAGTTAGGGTTCGCCTGAAAAATACTGTTGGATTAGAAAGTTAATTAATAATACCTTAACCTTAATAATTAAGGTTATGGGGACCATTTTCAGCAATTGAGTACTTTTACTTTTGAGTACTTTAAGTACATTTTGACAGTAATAATTTTGTATTTAACTTTGAATGTATGATTGTGATTTGTCCCGTAGCTGTTTTATAGTGTTGTGATGGTACTTTTACTTAGGTAAAAGATACTTGTTCTACCACTGGGAGCAGCAAGGCACAAGCAAAAGATGGAAGTGAGGATGCAGTTAGGAGAATTGAGAAGCAGCCTTAGAGATTCTAATCGTCATGGGACACTGAGACTCTACGACACCTACTGATGAATTTAGCGGTGTGTGCCATCAGCAGGAGGGCAACAACATCAGCCTTCATCAAAGTCAACACTGCAGACATTTTTTTGTCTTTACTTGGAGCACACACTAGTCCCTGTTACTTTAGAACATGTACTATGCTTTATTCTTGTCTGTATTTTTGTTTCTGCACACACAGGAAGCGACCAAGGCAGCGTGCTGCCTGAAACAATATGATTTAAAGGAATAGATGCGAATGTGTCTTCATATATTCAAATACTTGTATGTCTTCATCTTCTGAACCATCTGTTTCTCTGTGCTACACAACAGGCAGCTCGAAGTTTCACCGCCACAGGGTGCAGAGCTGAGTTAGATCCTCCTTCTGATGTCATGTAAAAAGGAGCAGTAGATGGTAAAAAAAACACACACACAAAGTGTAAGGAATGGATTTAACACCGCGTTTGTCTGCTCTAATGTAAGCCGCTAACATTCACACCTACAGTTGTAAGCTATTGTTTTTGCAAAGCTAGGGTAGCACATCATCCTCCAGCCTGAGTGTCCTGAGGTAGCTTTAGTCTCAGTCTTTTTACATCATGTAGCCATTGAAGGCCTTTTCATTAAACAAGTCAGTCTGTTGTTCTAGACGTGAATAAAGTGAGGCCCAGACTCTCCTTTTCTGTTGAACTGTGACATTTAACTTGCAGTGGTGGCTGCTAATATATAGAAAATGTGAATATATATTTCACCCTTACACTTACCCTGAGAAGGCTCAAGTCCTGAGAGACTGAGTTATGTATTTGCTTTCTTACAAATAATGTGATTTTGAATGAGGTTTTCTTACTTGCATTATCCATTGCATGAGCAGCTCCTAAAGTAATTAGCTGCTCAACAAACAGATTGTTAATCAGGATCT